CGTATCTTTTAAAGAATAATTTTAATCTTGAGAAATTCAATCATATGCTTTATTAAATATACAATTAGATTTAAAGTAGTAGTTGAATTGGAGTGTCGTGACGTGTTGTGAAGTGTAGTGCCATAGAGTAGAGAGGGAAGTGAAGTGCAAATGCAAGTGTAGTGAAGTGAAATGCAGTGTATTTAAAAAGAGTATTTATTAGTTAAAATTTCCGTGAAGGACAGTCATAAAATGGTGAGTTAATTCTATTATTGTTTTTATTGTCTTTATTGTTATATTATTATTATTATTATTATTACTATCTTAAAATTTTTAAAATTACATTGTGTTACTATTCCTAGTCGTAATATTTAAAAAGGTACTGTTCTGCCACCAGGTTGTTTACCAACCTGTAGAAATAATAAATCTATCTATCTATATCTTTATCATTAGAGGTATGCATCTGATGACGTCACATTATTTCTGAACAACACCTATTTTAGTAGGCCTTGCTGAGTATATTTACGATCGCTGTAGTGTCTTAGAGAAAAATTGTGTTTGACAATTATATTTCATAATTACGTAGTCCGGTTGGAGAGCTGACAAAGCCATTAAAGCGTTACTTCGTACGAAAAGTAAGGGAATATATGAGAGAACAACACGTGTTAATGTTGGAAAGGAGGAAGACAATTCATTTCTAACTCAGATGTTTTGCTAGTGTGCTTTTCAGAGCTCGCGATTACAACTGTCGATTACATTTTTTATATTTGTAAAATGTATTACCACTAAGGCCAAATGTTTTACACATAACACATTTATTAATGTTAAAAGTTTGATATTCATTAGTCCTATTAGTCAGCTAAAGTGAAACCAACATGCTTATGGTCATACTTGTTTATGTTGAAGGCGTGGTGTGTAAAGGAGAATATCGATGTTTTAAATTAACAATTTACTTGATTTTCCAAACAAATAAAGGAGTTTTGAAAAAACAACTACTCTCAACCATTGACCGTCACGTTCAAATAGGTGAAGTAAACATATCTGTGCAATATAAAGCGACTTCTCGGTTAGGATGATTGATGCCAAGTTTGAGTAGGGTAATAGTTTCTAATTTAACTTATTGTACTACATATATTAACATGACTGTCTAAAAAGTGGTAATAATTATTCGTTTATAATCGTGTTTCATTCGTTCATTGATCACGTTTTTGATGAATATAATATGTTATGTATATTATTTGTTCATGTTTCATAGACGTCTGGAAACGTCATTATTATAGAAATATAATTAAACGAATTCGATGAGTTTTTTAATTTCTTATTGCCTGTGTGGACTTTTAATATTTCTATAATTTATATTTCATAAATACTTACATATTTTAAACATTTTTAGGTCATAAACTTACAGACCCTAGACTAGTCATAATGCTCACATTTACTCCCAAAAAGAAAGAGTATTTCTTGTTTATTATAGACTATAGTTATAAATAAAACTATAAATTCTTTCCATCTTGCCAAAAACCGGAGATTGCATTTTATTAAAAATAATTTATTAATGTAGATTCTAAAATATGTATCTTAGTAATGTATAATATACAGTCGACTCAATTTATAGTGAACTCAGCTATAGTGAACTCTCGTTTAAAAAGAATTATAGTCAGTAGTTCCGTTTCACTTACATTATCAATAAGAATAAGAAGATTCAGTTATAGTGAACCTGACCCTACGCTGTAGTGCATGTAGAAAATACAATGTCCAAAAAATTAATCCCCCCTGGAAACAATACATTGCCTCAGTGTCACAAATTCAAACTTTTAGACATCTTGAAAAAAATATCGTAATCGAAGAGTTTCTCATCAAATAAAGGTAACGGATTCGGAATGGGAACTTTAGTGATGGCCTTGTGCCATCAAGTTTTACTGCGGAAATAAAGACTGTGTCTTGCGTGGGCTACACCTTGCGACGGTACCGCGCGATTACTTGTTTCAGTTTCAATCTTGGTGCTACTTGATATTCCGCGGGACAAAGCGCGTTGAGTTCTACGTAGACGACAAGAAGAACTGCGTAGGCGACTGCCACAGCCTGGTGATATCCGCCGCGCCACGCGGAAAAGCGATCAGTTTCATTAGTCGCTTACGCCATGCTGCTGCCGAAAATATCCAATATATTATTAGGCGAATAAAAGAGCTTTCGGAGTGTGAGGGGGTGTTCTAACGGTGGTGTCGCAATGCATACATGGTATAGAATTTAGGATGCTCCTTGTCGGCGGAGGAGGGTCTTTTTGGCAGATAAGGAAACGACGGTTATATCACAGGAGAACTAAGCAGTGGATATTCTTTTGTGTCAAAACTTTCCTGTACTATCTCATTAAAAGAAAGGCAAAACTATTTCAGTGGACTTTTATTATGAAATCTATGAAAAATCGCATCTTTCTTGAGTTTCATTTGTATTCTTATTTATTTTGAGACTCATTTTTGCTGCTTCCAACATAGAAAGTAACATTGTACATTAGACGTGGAATTCTCATTGTCTTTCTATTTGCGTGCATAACAAACATTTTTGTAAATTTTGAGATTTTCTTCACGGAAATGAAGAACTGACACTTTTTATGAGTGAATACTTGACGAAAAATATTTTGTGTTAGTCCTTCCAGTATTTTGTATATTCATTTTATCTCTTACACATTTCATGAATTTATCTTAAAAAGAACATTCTCATACATGTTCTTAACGAGTTTTATGTGAGTAGACTATCCCATCAATCAGATCGTTGAATAATTACAAAAACTGCTTTGTTAATCATAGCTATGGTGATCAAAAGCTTTACTGAACGTAACGAGATATTCGGCTGACGATTATCTCGCTCCTATGGGGTCGTCCAATGTCGTGATTACGTTTCTGTACGACAACAATTTTCTTCTTTTAATGCTATGTGGAATGTATCAAAATAACTAAGCTCATTGACAACAGTTCAGGAACCGATTGCTTACATACAGAGAAATAAATATTAGTAGTTTATGTAATTAGTTTATGATGTTAAGCTTTATTGCACGAGTTCCTGTTTTGAAAACGAGCGACTTAAGAATCGAGTTTTCAAATTTATACGAATGTAATAAAGCAACATTATAAACGAGTTGCATACTATATTTTTTGTATAACTGCATTATACATTTATTAGAGAATCAAACTTAATTTTGCGAAACAATTTCCCTGTGACGACTCGGGTATTTGAGTAAATGGTGCGAGTAATTTGAGTAAGTGCGAGTAAATAGTGGTCGGCTGTTCCGTATAGCTCGACCTCCCCCCGATTCTCTCACTACGATTGGCTGGCTGAATGTGTGATGACGCAATCATTCGTGACATAAAATCTAATACGTCATCATTTGTGCCGTAAAATGCCAGATTATGAACGATTTCTTGCAACAAAAAAGGTTCTTTTATAATGCTGGAATACAAAAAAGTATATTACGCACCTAAAGAGAGAAATTGATTTTCTCTGACAGTTACACGGACATTCGATTACTACAACAGCTAGTGGTAAATCGGATATTTTCCTGGGAATAAATGTTATTTTTCTACGATCACAATATTTTTGGTAGTAGAATAATTAAGAAATAAAGAATCGTAGAATCCTTGCATGACTAAGAGAGTCCATGACATTACCCTCGTCTTTTACAACAAAAGGCAGTTTAATATTACGAGAGACGAAAACGTCACAATCAAACATCAGATAGCCGTTTTCAGCATTTAGCGGGCCATGACAGAGCCCTAGATTTGCTTCAAAGGAAACTAGTTGCAACCCGGGTAGACATTATAATCATCCGACTCACAACTTCTATAGCCGCAAATTAGAGGAATAATAAATATAATAATAATAATAATAATAATAATAATAATAATAATAATAATAATGCAAAATAATTAATTTTTATGTTAAGATATTCTAAATAATCAATTAATTTGATCCACTTTTACAACTTTTGACTATTTGAGGGAAAGTCTCCAGCATCATTCCAGGTAATTTGTTACGATTTTGTATTGTTCAGTCCACAAATGAGAATTTATTACAAGTAGGAGATGTTGTATACAAATTTTCTTTGCCTAATTTTTGAATTATGATCCTTCCGTGCGACGTATGTCATCTTTTATAGTCTTACCCGCACTCTAACCATGGACGATCACCTCATTGATTTGAATAATGTACGAAGTCTCGATTTCTCTATAATATTTTAAAAGGTTCCCACAATATAAATTAAGGATTACCACTCATCTCCTAACACATTTTCTAGAGTATTTTCGTAATATTTTAGAAAATTTTAGTTTCAAACTATATGGGTCTAAGAAGCCGCATGCCATTTTCAGCTGTACCTACTTCAGATGTATATTCTATTTACAATCGGATATCCATATATCAAATCTGAGGTCCCCTTCGATAGTATTTGATTAACAGAATTTTCAATCTGTAGAAATAGCAATAAAAGCTTTGCAAATACTTTCAAACAAGTTTGGAAAATTCGGCGAAATACGCATAGATGGATGATTCCAATAGCGAAAACCAATTTTGCGCAATCAAATACCCATAAATCGTAGATTATGTATTCTGACTACACAGGTGCTACTAATTTCTTCATTGAATTGGTCCACCACTTATCCACTTCTTCCGTATAAATACTCACAATACGTGTTTTTTTTTATCGAGAATTTGCCATTTTTTGCTGCAGCCTTAGATAACGTTTTTCTATATTGCATATATTACTCCGTATTTTATGTACATGAGAAAGTAATATTAACACTAATGTTTGGTGAGACGCGATGTCTTTGATCACAACTATGTCCGTCTTCACTGAAAGGACTCTCAAAGAGTGCAATGATGTTATACTCAGGATGCATTTTATCTTGTCGGAAGTTTGGTCGAGCAAATGAGGAAGACACATTACCAGCAAACAGAGCAGATGATATTCTTATGTACCAGCAACTTGAGAAATAACCACAGTATCAAACCGAGCAGTAGTATTTCTTTAGATGCATTTCCAAGATCATCTTCACAACATTCGTATATTTGTTGTGGGTGTTTCAGATTCTTTGTCATCTTGGCTTCTTCTTCGAAGTGTCTCGAGTACATACGTAAGTAATCATTCAAGTCGTAATAGTAATATTGTCATTGTTAACGCAGACGAGAAGTTGAAATTGATTTAGTGTGTTGTTAAATGTGATAATGGCATATTGGAGTAGATTTTGTTTGTCGAACAATACAGGATGGGAAGTTGAACATTTCTGGAAATTCTTGCTGTATATTGTAAATCATTCGAATGCATTGAAAACGCATTCAACTCCGAAGATTATGACCCTCGTTTTTCATGTAAAATTAAATAGTTTTGAATAAACATGTATAATAGTTTGAACAAATCACGTGTTCCGTGAACGCCGAGAAGAATCAATGACGTCACAACAGCTCTAAGCTTGGGCAGGTGTGTGATTGTTGCGGCACATGCGTTTGTGTGACTGACTGATGATTTCTTCTAGTTCTTATCCTAATTGTGACGCAATGTGGAATGTATTTGTTAAAAACGACAACATACATTTAACAGAAATGGTTGATTGGTGGTCGCTGTTATTTTAGCAAACCCGACAACTATTCTTGTGTTCCGTTTAGAGGCCAGAATCTCGAAAGGTAGTGGGTTCCTTTTCGTATTGAAATTTTTGTTCACAGAAAAGTATTTTAACTATTTTTTTGAGATACTATCAGAAAGATTTGAATATTGTGTCATTTTTGCATTCAAATGTTTTGCGTTGTGGAAGAGCGAATTTTGCAAAAACACAAATGCGTAAAATCTGTTTACCGTCCACCATATCGTTTGCTCTTAACGATCAACAGCATGTTAACACTGAAAGTCAGGGAGAAAATTGTCTGGCTGCAGACTAATTTAAAACTGAAACAATGGTATGATAGTGGGTACATCAAGCCATCAAATACACGAGCGAAAGATAGTAATGTATGAAGAATCTGATCACTGTACTCATAATCAATGGGGTCTGAGCATTGCGTAATGGTTAGCGAATCGAACTCAATACTTTTGACGTCAAGTGGGTTTAAATTGGAATGTATTAAAAATTTCAGATTTATAATTCAATACAAACAATACATATCTTGCAACTAAGAGGTTACATGACTTATTCTCATTGAAGTTACCTGCGTGTATCTGAGCCTTCCTCACGGTTAGACTCATCCACCAATTAAGACAAGTGCCATTCGATTTATCTCTGTCTCCTCGAGAAGAACTGATTATATCTTTATCATTCACCCAGATTATTCTTAAAAATGTCTCCGAAAACGTGTTTATGTGGTATATATATGAGTTTCTTTAACGTTGTTTAGTCCGAATGCATGTTTTTTATGGGTCCTTGATATTTAATATCAAAAAGTGGATTGAAGGCAAAACGCCTGTCTGTCTGCCAGTGAACAATGCTAGCGGCAATTCCGTAAGAATAGTTTTCACCACAACTGATATTTCCCAATCGATCGATCTGATGACATGGCTTTTTGAATTTGAAACTGATATTCTAACTTTGGAAACACTTTACTTATACCCAAAAGAACATTTTTAAAATTAAAAAAAAATACGTCCAATTTTTTAATAAAATTGTGTTGTTGGATTTTAAAAAGAACACTGAAGGAAATGGTACAGGTCTCATTTTAGTTGAAATTTCTCATTTTTTGAAAATTCGAAAATTTCCCGTCATGTTCCGTCATGTACAACTTGAATTCAGAACGTAAGTTTCCTTTTATTAATGAAATGTGTTCATCAAAAATAGATCTTTAAAAGAAAGTCATGTTTACTTCTTTGAATATATGACTTTTTGCGTAGTTTTGCTTGAAACGTATGTAATTTTTAAATTTTAAACAATCATTTTCTCAAAAACGGCTCCAGTTTTTTAAAATTTATTTCACGAATGCAGCAAAGAGCGGTAAGGAAAGTGGGGCCGCTCCAGAACTATAAAAGAGGATATGAACACGTTTGCACTAGTTTTATTTGTGAGAAAAGAAATATATAACTGAGTTGCATGTAGTCTGAGAGTAAAAACATAATAGAGGAACGCCTGACATCCTGCAAGTGACACGTGCTCCAGCGCCGCAAGCAGGGTTGCCAGATTGTGTATTTTATTTCATAATTCAACTTAGTCAATATTTTCGCTTTGACTAATTCAGTTCTCATTTTGTTTCCATTATCGGTCCTTAATTCTGCAGCACAAGTTGTAGTTATATAATGTCATTTATATAAAAACATTTAATAAAATTAAATTATCAAACACGTATTAGATTTTAAAAAAGGGAAAAGATATTACATTTCATTTTTTATATAACCCAGAGATTCTCAAAAGCAATTCGGATACGGAGTTCACTTCTGAATTTCGGAATCAACAGGTCAAACCCGGAGAGGTGAAAACAAGAAGAATAGAATAAATACATTTATAATAGTAAAATAAAAAAAAATATTAGATTTGTACTGCATACAGAAAGACGAATAAATTTCACACGATCTACAGCCGTGCGACAATCCTTCGAACTTGTGACACACCTAGACTGCCGCAGACCTGCTGTCATATTCCACTGCAGGCACGATATTTAGAGAATCCAGTTCTTCAATTGTGCATTAATATTGCATCGTACAACACGTCATCTGGCGAAGCCCAAATATTTTTGCTTGGCTATTTTCACTTTCTCACAATTTTATGGTTGTGACCCGACAGTTATCTTAAACTATATATTTGTCTGAATTGCCGCCCTGTTTCTCACCTTCCTTTAAATATTTTTTTTACATATTTATCATACGTCGTAGAAAGCTTAGAGTTATTGATCAATGCTCGACCAATTTTCTAATTTAGAATATGGAACATGAAAAATCAAATGTTCTGCAAATGTAGCATAGATTAAATGCATTTAAAATATTATTATAAAGACAATTAATATGTGATTTGTCCTGCATAGAGCAATGCGAATTAATCTCAGTTTAAACACAACGGTTATTGTTTACAGGATCTCGTGGGTGACCAATGGCCACAAAGTCGAATTTCCTCTTGGGACTGTGTACTATATTCAAACTCTTCCGGTTGGCATGGATGGAGTATCTGCCAACTCTAAGTTGTCAAGAGACTCGTTCAAGCACTTTGGTGTCATTGCCTCAACCGTGTCAGTTTTACGATAATATAGTCACGTGCATAAACAATGTCTGGCCGAAGCAAAAACACTTTAAGGCGGATAGCATGGATTCAATTTTCAATGTGTTTACTCAAACTGAAACATGGGAGAACGAAACCCAACTGCCTGAACGGGAAGTAACATTCTGCATTGAAATAGTATCGTTGGAAAAAAGCCGCATCCCCCAGATATTTCAGGATTCCATTAGACAGTACATGAGTTTTTCTACTGGTCGTACTTTAGCAGTTGGAGTGATTACTATGACAGAAAATTGTTGGTATATAGAGTAAGTAATTTTTTCGTATAATAGTTGAGATAACTTTTTGTAGTGTTAATGTTAATAGACCTTAATTAATTTGCACCGGAGCTGAGAGAAGTGCAAAAATAAAAAGTAGAATGATTGCATGCGTTCACTAATATAGTTGCACTACAGATGAGTGTTCATTTGTGCATAGAAAATACTGTAATGTGGAAATAAAACTGCGAGATGACATCCTGGATCTTCCCTTTGCAAATGAGACGCCAAACTACGAAGAGTTTTGGAATTTCACCTCCCCACTCTTCCGCCCAGAACTCCGATGGCTGCAAGAACTCAGAGTGGATAACATCGAAATTACCAAATTTTCTCCACACCCAAGCAACGCATCGGGATCATCACTCCAGCTGCTATCAGTTCGCGGACATATTGATTTTTTCCTCTACAATTTTACTTTGAATATTACAAACATGCCTTGGCTTCGACACCTTGATATTTCTAGTGGAAATATACGGCGCGTTTCTCCAGGTACAGAGCACATGATTTACCAAAATTACTCTAGTTATCACCTAAACGATGATATTAAAACTTCTATGCTATCACACCCCTATTATCCTTTTTGGCAAAAGCACTTTTCGATGACTAACAATATATTTTCAGATGGTAAATTAACCCAAGTACCTTTAACAATCCTTAATGATTTTTTCATTAAATTTTCACACAATGTTTCTTTTTCTATTTTCACCGTTGTGCTTTGAATTCCCTCAATAAAACACACTTCTCGTCGGTTTAAACAAACTTCCTATATTTCCAGAATCTGCTCTTTTATGTTTAAATAATAAAAATAAAGTGACTTATAATATTAATGTCAAAATAAGAAAATATTTTTCAGAGAAATTAAATATAATTAGTTGGTAATTTTTAACCAGTTTTCAACCAATATATTTCTGAGAAATGTGGGTAAAATTTTGTATTTATTATAGTCTCATCAACCCATGTTACTTAGTGACTTTTCTGAATTTTACATCAAGGCTCAATATTTGATTTTACATTACTTATACACACGGTACAGTTTTTAAAATTACAACGCATTATTTGAATAACACAAAAATTAGTTAATCAGTCATGTCTCGTATCATGTCTAGAAATTTAAAATTATCATTGAAAATGTTTTTTTTTTTCTATTTCAAATATAACTTTATAATCCAGAACAAATTCTAGTAAATGTATATACGACAGTATATTGATATGTTTGTATTAATTATTAATAATATAGAGTGTTGTTAAAATATACACTGCAATATGTTTCACACTAAATATGTTTCAGATTCTTTCACTGGATGTCCATTAATTGAATACCTGGATCTATCAGGAAATAGGCTTTCAGAAATACCACCCGCCGTAAAACGGTTGAAATATTTAGAATGTTTTCAGTTACAATCAAATTACATTGACTTTAATTTGACGTCAGAAAATCTTCTTCCTCTAAAGAAACTGAGAACCCTAAGTTTTGGAGGAACACCCATTGTTGCTTGGACGACACCAATCCCACCATTACCTCTTCTCGTTAGTCTCACACTCTCTGACTGCTCACTGACAAAACCCGGCCCAGCGCCCTTCGAATTTCCAGCTTTGGAGATTCTTGATCTCAGTCAGAATTATAATATCTCATTGTCTCAAAACACATTCACACAACTCCGTAAACTCAAGCAATTAATATTAAGAGGTTGTGAACTATCAAGTTGGCCGACATTACCCCCAACCCATTTCGCAACAATTGATCTGTCAGGAAATAATTTTACCACATTAGTTAATTTAGAAGAACAGGGAGTCACTGTAGAAGTACTGAACATGTCTCAAAACAAAATTTTCGAATGGGATGATCCAGACGTGTTTCTGATACACGGAAACAATGAGTTCTCAAATTTGGATAGCCAGTTTACATCACTCAGGCTAGAGAAGAACCGCTTTGCCACACCAGACGTGAAATCGCAGAAGCAAGCGCCAAACCTGCACGGCAAAACGCACAGCAGCAGGCGTGCTACGTGGGTGCAGCAAGTGAACCTGTCGTTGAACAGCATCTCTGCGTTCACCCCGGCTATGCTGGAGTCGCTGAGCTCTTTGGCCGCGGTGGACCTGGGAGGCAACCACATCGACTGCAGCGACTGTCGCACTCCGGCACTGCAGAGCTGGCTTCGGGCGGCTGGGTCGACAGTGAAGGTGCTGGGTAAGGACGGCAAATTTTTAAACGCATTGCAAAGCAGTAACGAACGTTGTAATTAGAGTTAAAAATAAATGAATAAATTGTAATATGATAACGTATAACTTACTAAGGAACCTAATTTTTTTACGAAATCGAAATTCGAATGTTCTACGGTAGTGGGAGACTTTTGTAGTCAATTCTAAATAATCAAATCACATTTTTGTGAATATGGCCCCGCTAAAATGCAATAATGAAATAGTTAATAATTCACAAAAACAACAATATTTGTAAATAGTAATTATATTGATTGTTCTTGAAATTCTTCTGTAGGTTTAGTATCTAGATATTGCTCATTCTCCGAAAATTGTTAATTTGACATATTTTCAATGTTATCCTAACATTATTCGCTGGGCAGACAATGTTAATTATCCAAATCCTTATCGAAACGTCCGGATCCGTTCTTTTATTATTCTCTACACTTCAACCTTTGCTCATCGATATGCGCTGCGCTGCTGTCTCTAGTGCTGGGCGAGGAGGGGCCGCTGCGCTGCTTCCTGCCGGCGTCGCTGGAGGGCGCGCCGGTGGCGGCGGTGCAGTTCGACGCCAGCGCCTGCAGGGACCCCACGGTGCGCCTGCGCTGGGCGCTGGGCCTGCCGCTCAGCGTGGCGCTGAGCGCCCTTCTGCTGTGTGGCGCCCTCGGCTTCTGCTACCGCACGGAGGTGGCTTACTTGGTGCACTTGGCCAGGGTTCGCGCGTCCGCCAGGCGGCCTGCCGACCTCGGCCGATGCGCCTACGACGCCTTCGTCTGCTACAGGTTGTGCGGCAGTCTCTTGTTAATTCCATCAAAACTTATCTGTAACTGAACTACGTAGAAGAAACATTTCCCCTGCGCACGCCCGAGATATGTCGCGCAGCTGTAATCCATCCGTCTTAATAGCTTTTGTTCATTATTGGACACTTTGACGCGACGCGTTTGTTGTCAGTGGCAGTTGATGTACTACGGGAACGAATATGCCACAGACGAGCGTCACTTCAATACCTGTTTCGCAATACTACGAATACTGTTCTTCACATTTCCGGTATCATGGCCGCCGATGAGAACTCATGCTGAGGAGCTCTTATTGTCAGTTTTTGATGTCTTTGCTCGAAAATATATTCAGTACGTCCACAGCTGCGATATTCGAGATATCGAATAGCAAAAGCAGGGGATAACGTCGCGATTTCTTGGAGTCGTGGTAGGCGTTTTTCATCTGGTCCAAGACAAGGACACCCACTTTTATTGTGCTGTGTAAGGTTATCATTTACTTATTTAAGTCACGACCAATTTTGACATCTTCCACGACATTATATGTTGACGATGTACGAAGTTGAGAACGTGGGAATAACTGTTATTCTTTGGCTAGTGAGCAATTGAGTCAACATATTCTTCTTTCTTCCTTATCCTCTAAACCAACGACATATTTGACATTCTCTCATGGTAATGGTTTTAGTTCACAATCGCACGAATTAAAATCGCATTAAACGCCCCATGTATACTCGCCGCAAAGAGGAAAAGAGCAGCGAGACACAACCAAAACACCGGTCGAGGAGGATTAGGGCGTCAACAGATGTCATTGCAATTCCTCTGGGAGGTCCTAGGGTGGTTGGATTTTCGACACTGGCTAGATAGAAAGTTGGGGTTCAGACGCTATCTGGAGGAGAATCCTAGAGATCGACTGCTCTGAGCCATATGTTTCCACGGTTTCTGCAATCAACATCAGGCGATTGCCGAGGCAGTACCCTAACAAACGAAACGCGAACCGCGCGCGATCTTTTCTTCCTCTTTCTTGTTCTATCCTCACCCTTACATAGACTTACATTACCACTCATGCCGGGAGACCAGTTTGGAGCTTAGAACTGCTCTTGAAAGAGCGACGCCTCGCTGGTGGCAGATGCCTAGTTATGGAAAACTCCGTTAGTCAAAGGTAGGCGGTCGCCCGATCTCGCCATCCTGCGGGGGAAGATCACCGCCTCCCGAGGAAGAATCACGCTCAGCACTTACGGAGCTAATGACCTTAGCAGTTGACGCGCTCGGAATCATCAAACACCGACACAAACAGTAACGCGTGTGGTCGCATAGACTATCATTGTACGTAGACCATACTGTACTTCGTGGCGCATTAATAGGATTATAATGTCAGCACAAAAAGGTTAGTCAGCGCCCCGATAAAAGAGCAGAGACTTTTTCTGCAGGAGTGAATTAAAAAAGTCCTAACCACAATAGTAATCCACTTGACCACTATAAGGCTTAGAAATAAATATTATTAAAATTGAAGAGCTTTGAAATGTGCCAGATCGACATAAGAGTATTCATTTGGGGGACAATTCTAGAAATATTTTAGGTACCAATATTGTACTGACAACGAACAGACTGCAAGCGTGTTGCCGTGAACTATATTTTTGGTATCAAGAACCAAGAAAGAAAACGTCTCTAATTGTTTTTATTTGTAATGATAACGACAAATAACCGCTCAACCAATAACATAAGCAACGATTATTTCCATTATTTCGAATATTTGTAGTTCCGTTTGTTCCTTGTCGTTAAATAGTTATTAAATCGACAGTTGTTGTCAGTATTGTATTTGATTTAATTAATTAAATATTTCCTTTAAACAAATCATATTTAGATATGAAGTTGTATGTTTTAATTATCCACATATAGTGAACATAGATTATGATTTTAAATTGTCGGTAACATTATTTAGCTACTAACTATATGCTGGCATTTTGTCTATGTAATTGTATTTAACTAACTTAAACTTCCTTAAACAATGTAGGATTGAACAGGAAGAAAAATATTCAAAAAAGCATTGAATCTACATCTTAATTCACATTTATATTGATTCGCCATATTTCCAGAAAACGTTCAACCTTTCTTAAGAATGTCTTTGTAGATCCATCCATCCATTGTGGTAGAGATTCATATTAGAGATGAATATGATGCAGTTCTAATTAAGTTGGATATTTTCGTAATATTATGTTCTCCATTATATTATCTAAACTAACAAATATTTATAAGAAACTAATAGTTTATTTATATACCATCGATAGAGTATAAGAACTATAGGTGCTTAGATTTTTTGGTTTACAGTGGTAAGAACCGGAAGTGGGTGATGCGTCGACTGGTGCCTCTCCTAGAGCGCCGTCCTCAGAGCTACGTCCTGTGCCTCTTCGACCGGGACTTTGCGCTGGGCTCACACATCGTCTCCAACATCGTCGACGCCATCGAGCACAGCAGGAAGGTCATCGTAGTCCTTACTCAACACTTCATCGATAGCAAGGTCAGTCTGTTCCATGTCGTAGATGACAACGCCTAAGGCGTTATGGAGAGCTTGTTGTGACGCTGGTGGTTGCAGTGGTGCCAGTGGGAGCTGGAGATGGCGCAGCACAAGCTGTTCAGCGAGGACCGCGAGTTCCTGGTGCTGCTGGAGCTGGAGCCGCTGGAGCGCCGGCGCCTGCCGCGCCTGCTGCGCTTCCTGCTGGACACGCGTCCGGTGGTGCGCTGGCCGCGGCCCGAGACGGCGCCGGCGGTGAAGGCGGCGGCCACAGAGCTGCGCCGTGCGCTGGGGCCCAGCCTCCGCCAGCGGTCACGCTCCCTACCTTTGCCACCACCCAGAGACGAACCCGGGCCCTCAGACTGCACAGCAGACGAAAGGACGCCGCTGCTGAATTAGTGACCAGCGGTCACGCCCTCTCCCCGCGCCACCCCTCGAGTTCGAACCCGGGCCCTCCACCTACACAACGGACGGGCCGCGGGATGTAATCGTTGCTAAAGAGCGGACGTATGATAATGAAGTTGGTTGCATTTCAATGTGGCCAGGAAATATTTTTTAACTGAAACAAAAGGTATTCGTATCTGTGATAGTGAAGTTCTCCATAAATGAGGCGAACAGTTCAAGTCAGGTATAACACTAGTATTTATGGACGTCATCTAAATAAACGTGTATTTATTGTAAGTATTTGCTAATAACAAATATATATTATTTGAATTAACATTTAAAGAAGAGCCAGAAGTTTGTTTACTATCCATGTTAAAATGAGGATTTTTGACCTATCTTTCGTCAGAAACTATAATAGGTAGAGCTTTGAAATTTTCGCAGCATGTACATTGAGTCTTTCTTATCACTTTATCACAATAAATTTTTAATATTTAGAATAGGTTTTAAGTATTTTTTAAAAAATTTAACACTAATTTTTTCTTATATTTAAAAATATATTTTTGTACCTGCCGAAATAGTAGAGTGTTTGTTAAAATCCCGTGTTGAAATTAAGTCTGAATCAATGGTAATGAGCTGTGAAAGTTTGGTATACCTATCATTCATAGTTTTGGAGAATGGTCCTTGTATATGAAAATATGTAACTTTCGGGACATGACTACTAAAGTTTAGTAACCAAAACAAATTGCATATAACCAGCTGTTGGCATATAACCAGCTCTAGATTTTATGAAGCAATGCCAATCTCTGGAGAATCAGTCATGCCTGCGCAACGGTCTCAATAATTTGTGTCCTAACTTTGCCAGGAGATCGAGGTATCTCCTATGATAGATCTTCACCTGCTTCAGTCACTTCTTTAAATTTTTTTGAGGAAATAACGAATAGAAGTTCTCAAAACAGTCCTTCAAAACAAAATTGTTGCTATTTCACGCCAGTGAAGATGTGTTTGGAATGTCATCAGTGCTCTCTGCGAGCTGCCTTCAACTGTTTATTGTGCCAGAGAGGGGGAAGCAAGGTCATCGTTGATGAAAAGTTAAGCGAGTAATACAAGAACATGTAAAAAGGGACTTCCAACAATTGCTGCGCGCATGTATTCGACAACGCGCGAGCGCTATAATTGGATTTTCGTATGCCACGTGAAAGAATAGGGCCTTCACTGTTCTGTTCGTCTTCAGCAGAGGCAGTATTTTGTCTTATAACATAATCACGTTTCGGCAACCTGTCGATTGTTTCATCAGGGAATTGACCTGTACCCCCATAGTTTTCTCATCACTTATTTTTGTAGTACCAAGTGATTGTTTCAATTTTCTCAATCTCACTTTCATTTGCTTTTGAATGTTGCTTATGCATTCAAACTTTTGTACAGTAACATCTGTACTTTATGGTTACAATTTCCCCATACACTTGAACACTTCAAAGTCACCAAAATCACGACAATACACATATCGAACACCATTTCTTGAAATTCGATCTATCGAACCACTTCCACATTCAGTGCATGTATTTATAAAAATAACAATATACCAACTTCTACAGCTCGTAAACCACAAGTTTTAATTGCATTTTGAATGCAAGCAAGAAAGAAAATAATTATTGTTTAAAGTAAAAAAATCCATATTTGTGATGGGGTCCCGTCCGGCTGCTCTTAAATGCTGAAAAAAAATTAATAAATAGAATATAAGCCTATACTTTTATGCGATGCGCTGATACTCGGGATATCTTCGCATGCGGTTTCGGTAACATTGACATTTCTCTTTTTCAATCAATATGTAATAAAAATAATATAGCTGCAGCAAAAATGATGAATAACAAAAAAACACATTTTTTTTAAAAAAATTGCACTGTTGAAAAATTACATATAATTACTATCTTTTAAAAACTGAAATAAAGTCAATATTTTGAGTAAAACAGTTTTCACGAATACAGCAATAATCTAGTGTAGTTTATTTACAGTAAACCAGTGTTAACAAACTAGAACATCAAAAAATATTTCCATTCTTTTTTAGAACTCATGAATAACAAATATTTAATTATTTTTTCTACTTCTTTCCCTTAGTACCATAATAACAAAATGTAATCTCTCTGATGCTCATTTCTCAACGTAATGATCATATTCTGCCCTTCCCAGTCTCTCAATTACAATTTTCATTTCAATATCGCGATCAAATTCGCTACCAGGCCACTACATTCTAAGTGGCCGTCCATAGATTACGTAACACGAATTTGGGTTATTTTAAATACCCCCCCCTCCGCCACGTAACGCTCGCGCTCTTAATCTCCTCTAATATTTACGTTACGCTTGCGACAAGCCCTCCCCCAAAGATTCAATATATATATATATATATATATATATATATATATATATATATATATCATTGATGAAAAATATTTTCTTTTATTGTAACAATTCACAGAATATAACGTTTTTAATTTTTTATTTAATTTGTTAATATGGTAATCCTTTAGTATAAGACTAAATAAAAAGGAACTATTTCAGCAAATGTTGAAAGATTTAAAAAATAAATATCAGCATTATGCAGCATTAAACTGTGACCCCCTACATGTATGAAACGCAGCGTAACGCAGTCGCAAATCCCCGCCCCCTCTTAATCGTTACGTAATTTATGGACGACACGTAATTGCTTTGCACCCGCGCGACCATCCGTCTTCAGTTCTTCTGAACCATTTCCCATCACCCACGGAGCGTCTCCAACTCCAACACTACCACATCTCTTCAGTATGTAGTGGCGTGTTGAAGGCCAGATACAGTCAGGCAATAAAGCCATTTAGACCAGATGGTTCTGCGAGGACTTTTTCTCAAGACTCCGCCACCAGCACCAAAGCACGCCCAAGGCCGAAACGAATCCAATATTTAAAAAAAAATAATAAAGCAATTGAGAATATTTTCATAACAAACTCGTATCTGTCTGCCTTGACCTGCCGCTGCCAACGACGTAACCGGCGGGGGATCATTAACGAAGGGCTACACCTCATCCCGGAGCGCAGTCTGGTTTCCACCCCCCCCCTTTCCTTTCACCATCCACAAAATCTCCGACAGAGCCAAAAGTACAGAGACAATTCCAATCACTCCGTGCGTGCCTTTCGCAGCAATCCAGCATGATTTAGTTATTTCGCCGCCAACGAAATAATGGCAAATACATCTTCAAACGCGAACACGCCCACGTGGTCGACACCCGCCCTATTCTTCATCGGCACGCCAGATGCCGTGCTTCCGGGGAGAAAGAAACTTCGAAAATGTACAAATTGTAAAAAATAGTTATATGCGTCGTCATTGCCAACAATATTATTTATTAAAAAAGCAGCTTTCGATGGTTTAGTCATGATCGTCAGTTTTCTAATACAAGAAGAAAAACAAAAACATTAAAACGTGAATTTTTTGTTTTGTATTGACAACAACATTATAATAAAAGGTTGCTATAAATTTACAATTTTTAGAAAATATATTTAACATTCTAAGAACTGAAAGAAAGAAAAAAGGGGGAGGGGTTAAAGTCATTTAATACTAAAGGAAAGTGGATGAAATTGAATTAGAACACGTAAAAGTTGAAACATAAAACATGGAAATGTAAGTTGAGCCATTCCTTACATGCTGTATAGAAGCAACAAAAACGACTACACGGGGTTGGGCGAGCCAAGGGGCTTAAGTATCATTTAAATAACAACTTATTGAATGAAATGTTGTGTTCATGCTGTTCACAACAATTTCTATAAAATAAACTACTTATTCTTGTACAATGAATATTACATTTTGTATCAGTTATCATTGTTTAAAGACTTTATTCATCCTTAAGGCAACGATTCCCGGAAATCTACTCTGATTATGAATGTATTACTGCTCTCTCCATGACACGTACAACCATGTTGTATCTGCTACATCCTAAGTATTTGCAAACTTGTCCCGTGGAACATCCTGATTTCATAACATATTGCTTGTCTTCAACATTTCTAGAACCTGTAAATCTTATAAACTTGGACTTACTGGGATTTAATTTCACTTCATTTATAGTATTTCATGGATCCAGGTGATGTAAATCAGATTACTATATTTCTGCATCACCTTCATTTATAATATCCCAATAAATTATACAATCTGCATTAAAATCGTATTTTTTATTCTTCCCGGCCAAATGTTAACATATTCTATAAATAACAATGGGCGATGGACACTAAGGCAATCCAGTCGTTACATCGGCTTTCGAGGAGGAATTAATCCATTATTGCTAATATTCGATTTACTATAGTGATAGTTAGTTTTTTTGTTCGCATTATTAGATCTTTTGGTTCTTTAATTAGATTCTGTATATTCGTAATTTTGAGAAGTCTAAGGTTACTTACTGCAGTGGAAGAACGTTTTGGTTGTTATCAGGTGGTGACGGACTACTTGAAGGTTGCATATTCCGGGTGGTTGAATTGGAAGGTTGAGCACTGTAAAGGCATTGCCGTTGCTAATTTCGTTCCAATTCTGCCCCTCCATCCTTGCATACACTTAATCAAATTGTTCCATTTGAGAGTAAATTATATTACCATTAAATTAGAAGCGAAAGCTTCGAATGATAGCCAGTCATGAAAGAATGGTATTGAAAATTCGAATGGTATTGTTCGAATCACAATTTTCTGTAATCTATATCTTCTTCAATTGTTACAAAATTCACGTGATAGAAAACTTAATAATGTTTGACAGTAAAATTGCTTTAGACTTACTTTTTATCTGTACTTATTAGAAGTAGATAGCTGCAATCATTAACGTTGCAAATGTAAGTTGTTAGAAGTTTTACAATTTTATCACGCTCTTTAAGAAAAGACTCACGAAAATTAATAATTAACTTACAAATTTACCAAATGTTCCAAATCACACGGAGAATCTACTTACTTGTGAAACGTAATTTCCGGTTTCCCCGTACCGGTTGTAAATGTTCCAAATCACATGTAATAGCTACTTTCTTGTGGACAGTAATTTCCCTTTTGTACTGCCGTAAGCTACAAAAGTAACAAGAACGAAGTTACAAAAATCTAGCTACTCCGAACAAGGTAGTTAAATGTTTAAAACTATGCCAAACAACACAACTGAACACGATCACAACAACAATCCAGAGACTCACACGCAGTTTTTATGCTACAAAATTTCTGGATACCAATATGGCGGATAGGTGCTCCAGCTGGCTTCAAGTTTGTGACGTCACGTTCTATATATTCATAGCTCCATAGCTATAACTGAACCAATACTACTAGCGGAGCGCGATTGCTCCGTGCCATGGCACGGCCACCTTAAGTACTAACGCTGTACTAACAGTGGCCGTGGCCGTGGCCGTGGTGAACAAAAGAGTGACCATATAAAACGAATTTTTTCCTCGTTCACAGCATGAGAAGCGGTTAGGCGTGGAGCCACTTCTCTCCCTGTGGACTCCTCCACCCAAAGACAGCCAATTCCACTTCCCCCTTTTCTTGCATTTCATTCCCGAAATTCCGTCTGACAGCGCACTGCACCCTGATCAGTATTAACAGTGCGTAACATCTACAACTTTGGCGCGTTGACATTATTTCTGCTGTCTCTATCAAATCAATGTTTTTAAAATAAAAGTTCCATCTATTCGGACTCTAGTTTTTTTTTGAACTACTGGAACGGATTCAAGAATTTGAATCGCCCACTGGATCAGCCATTAAGCGCCTGGGCAGGTACGTGATTTTTCATATATTTTACTTCTCAGAAGCCCTGGGAATTTATTATTACATTTTGAGGTGTTCTTTACTGCCTTGCAGCTTAAGTAACTAGACGGAGGGAGTTTATTTAAATTACTAATTGAAACTAACGTATTGATGGCTAAAATCTAAAGAGGAAAATGCGCCGTGTGATCTTTGGCCTACCTAGTTGGATGTAAAAAATGTGTCTTACACAATTCTGGGGAATGATCAATGCTATATCTTTATTTTAGTAATTTAATTTATTTACTTAACGTGAAAACTGTGTTTGACGTACTGTGAGAAACTGTGTATTCCGTGCTCATTTTCATAAAAGTATCTCAACTCTAGCCGACATACTAGTTGAATTATGAACTAAGGTGTAAAAGAGCGGGTTTGTCACAAATTTATACGAAATTATTAGCTCCTGTATAATATAACTATATGCAAAGGCAAACCAGATGAAGATTTCTGCTATTATTCCTTATCGTGACATTTACGAACAAATAGAATTACTTCCACGAGAACATTTTTATGGTGCTTAGCCATTATGTGTCCCGTAAAGGACAATTAGCCTTGGCGCCGTTAGATCCTTGGGATCTTAGTCGGTTACCCAACCAGAAATACACGATATCTCGAATTCACTTACCCTTTGTGACTTCATGTCCTATCTAGTTAGCTATTTCCGCTAGCGGCGCCAGTTTTGCGGCCATGGCCGTTCAGTAGTTTCATTCCAGAATTCGCATGGAGGACCAAGAGAAACCACGAAAACCACGGTCAGGGTGGCCGGCACAGGGATTGACCCCGGGCGTCTAAAATGCGAAGTCATCGCGCTAAGCCCTAAGCCAATTTGCGCGGTCACGAGAACATAGGCGAAGGTAATTGAATGGCTGTATTCCCCGCTGAACGTAAGAAAACGTGCACAGATGTTTAAGTTACGTTTATGTTCAGAAGTAACGAGGGTCAATCTCAGCGGTCGCTCAAAAGATCAGGGAAACTGGACAAAAAGCCTGATCGAGATGGGCGTCATTGACCCAGAAGCTGAGGTGCAATACTTGTTAGTGGAATTTTAGTCATTTAAATTCATACAATCCAAATGTAACTAATACATTAAATATTGTTAAAATCAGTATTATGTATCTTTTTGATGGTCGCTAATCGCAATGGTGTAGTCTTTACTTGTAATAGAAAGTTATCCACCAGAAAAAGAATTGCTTGGCCCTTAAAATTGTGCATCAATTATAACCCTTTAATGTAATCTCGCAAGTTGCTGTAAAATAATGTACATGTATTGTATGTAAATGATTTGTAGAGAGCTCTTGATACATTCATCTACTTATATTACTACGTTGAGTGTTATCATTGTAGATATCTGTATTCTTTGAAAATTTCTTCTTACTCTTGAGGTTGTTCCCTCTAAGTCATTTTTGACAAATACTACTGATTTGTGAGTCAAGAGGCAAAGTAATGATTCAATATTCCTAGTTTAATAGCAAGAGGCACTGATGGGGCATAGTACTCACTGGTGGGATTTGATTATTATATTCGTACAATTTGTTCTACAATCTAAAAGTCTGGGAGCTACAGGAAATGTTTTCTCAGTATACTCCATGTTAGAGGTAGGAACGCCATGTTTGAGGTAGGAATAAATATTCGCCTAATGTACACATCGATCAGTATGAAAGCATTCTGAACACATAGCATAAAGAACACAGCATTCTGAACACATAGCATGGAGATTTTTCCCTTCAAATGAAATCTGTTCTCCATAATTAGTTTCATTAAAGAGGTATATTTTTTTCAAAATAGCAGTAGTTTTCGTGCAATTATATGTGTGATATTTGCAATATTCAAAAATTACAAAAGTAATATTTTCTCAAAAACGGCTCAAAATTTTTTCTTTAAACTTTTAGTACGGATAGTGCCAGATATATTCTGAGAGGACTTAAATGCCGTGTTACTCTATTCATTTGTTGTTTTTTTTTCAAAATTACACAAGTGTAATTTTTGGACTTGTATTGCTCATTGTTTATATTTACATTAACTGCAATATGTTCACATTATTGTATTTATGAGTAATGTGCTTTAAATAATGTCATATATAGTTTCTCCGAAACTTAACAATATTTTGTGAAAACTAGCTCAAAAATCCGCATTTTCAGAAATGCTTAATCGCCATTTTCTTGAAAATGGCTCCAATTTTTTTCTTGAAACTTTTTAAACGGTCAGTGCTTATTCAAATCTTTAATATAGCGTAAAGTTAATTTTGTGTTTTTTGCGATTTTCCAAAAATTACACAAATATATTTTTGAAAAATATCTCACACCAATAATACGTCTATTTTCTGCAATTTGACACTACTATTGCATTTGTGAGTTAAAATTCTTCAAATAATTTCTTAGAAACCTCAAAAATTTTTTAAAAAGGTTCAAATTTTGCTTTTACAGTAATTTCTAAACGTATTTTTCTTAAAAACTGGTCCAAATATTTTAATGAAAATTGCCATGTAGGACGATTCTTTAATATTCTTAAAGTAAAATACGGTTCTACTGTTAGGAAAACTAAAAAGTGAAAAAATTAAAACAATGTACTTAGGCGGCAATAGATGGCAGCTGGCTAGAGTATGTGGCAGGCGCGAATAGATAGTCCATACCAAACAAAATGGAAAACTAATACGAGAATGTCTGTGCCCTTCTGTAGTACCGCCAGTTTAATATGCAACTCTCAAAAAATTAATGGCTAAAATGAACTTGCAAGTAATCCGACACAAAACATAATGTAGCGATCCATGGATCGTAATTTTCATTTCCCGGAGAGTGGAAAAATTTCAAAGCTCTGTTAGATGACAGTTTTTAAAATACTCATTGGATTAGCTCGAATCATATTCTTAGGAACATTTCTTAGAAGATTTTTATTTTCGCTTTTAGTGAACTGACTATATCTGGATTGTCTTGCTCTCTTCACTGACAATACTGTGCAATGGTGCAATTTTCAGGAAACTATTATCTCGTCGGAAGGTTGTTTTAGCGGATGAGGAAATGAAAATACTAACACTGCGATGAGCAAAATGAAGCAGCTGGTATTCATTTGTGCTCTAACGTTTCTGAACATTTCAAGTAACAAGACAAACAAATGTATTTATTTTGGTGTATTTAATTGGTGTATGGGAACATATAAATAACTTTGGTTTTGTCCTAGTGGAATTTTAATTATTCTTATTGGCTGTAAAACCATCTTCACGTAGTTTCTCACCCGAAGGTGAGTAAATTTCTATGTCATTTGAAATTCTGTCATTATCAACTTCTTCTCGATCGATAATTGGTTAATAATGTTTTTTGAAAACTATGTTTAATACAGGTACCAACATTTTTAATACTCTATTATTTCGCAAACAAAGCTCTTGTATCACAATTCCTCCCAGTTTATTTGTTTTACTTTCAAGAAATTATATCAATTTAACTTTTATATGACATTCTAATATTGCTGTGTTTTTGGGAGTTTTGTTTCACGCAATCTATTATATCAATCTGAATGTTTTATATAGTTAATGTCGTGGTGAACTACGTATTTATTTCGTATCTCTCTTCACTTTTAGCTAGAATTAGTGAAAATGGTCAAACAATTCTTACCAACGGCAAAATATTTCCAGATCTCGGTCAATCTTTCCCCTTTGATATAGTGTCGCAATTACCTATGGTAAATATTTTTGTTTTGCCGACTTCTAATTTCATGTAGTAGAGAAAGTACAAAAATTTAATGAGAAAAGTTTAAAAAGAGTCTTTTTCATATAGAGAGCAATGGAATAATACTGTACACAATGAGAAAGACAAAACGATGACTTTTTCATGAGCGCACGTTTGAAACTCGAGTGCTCAGGGTAAAATCACCGAGGGTAAAATTAGCTAACAATAACAGTTTGCAGTAAGCAGTTGTCTTGTGTATTATACAACCTTATTTGTAAAAAATGATTAAATTATACAATTTTATTCACGTTAGTTTGTTTTCACTGAATACATTACCACATTCTTTCCAGAACCAACATATGCAATCAAATACACTTAAGAAATTTTATTAACTCACACATACAAAATCAAAATTCCTTCTTCCAGCAGCATTTCTTCACCTTCCACCACCATTCTTCTGTTTTCTAGTCTAATTGTAATGGTGTTGTAATATTGTATTTCTGTATCTCTCCAAGTAATACCTTCTGAATCCTCTTTAAGAAATCCACATCGTTCAGTAATACAAATTATTTTTGTCGCAGGGAGTCATGTAATCCCGGTTTTTGAAGTAAATAAAAGTATTATTAAATCAATAATATTAGTTGTGGTAATTAATAATTGGGAATATATAATTGTAATTTTTTTCTCATAAGTTATATTACGAGCAATATTAAGTAATTTTAATTTTTATATCAGTACTGATAAAGTGTGACCAAAATACATTTTTCATCATCAACTTCATTTTTATTATACACGAGAATCCATCACACTAGAAATTCACCAAGTAGTAGAAAACGTTTAAACCTTGATTTTATATTTCTCTATAACATTTGTTATCATAAAAAACTGAATAACTGGTTATCTCAAATAAATGTCGCGCTCCTTTCTCCCAGGTGTGTCATTGGTGCTCCCAAGATGACGTCATGCGTAGAAGACATGCGAAGAAAAGTTCTCAGCCCCACCTTGGCATACCATTATTAGAGATATTTTGCATATCGACCCCTGAAGATAAGCGGACTCGTCTACTGCCTGCCATGTAACGCCCTGTACACCAA